TGATGTGCTCAGTCAGCTGGTCTCCCAAATCCTACCCTTGGTCCTGGTCCTATGCAATTCTCAGTGTTAGGTGAGAAAGGGTGATGATGGGCAGAGAGACACAAAGTCTTCTATGCTATACCAGTCCCAAGGAAGCAGAACCCCAGGTGATGGCCTGGGAACATATCCACCATTACTGCCTGAGCCTTTGGCACCATTGATATTTTAGTCCCCCATTCAGTACATTTCACTTCTCTTTGGAAGCTCTGATCACAATTATAACTTCATGATTATCTGTTAAAATCATACATGTAAGGTCTGTTTCCACACTAGACTGGGAGCTCCTTGAGGACCTGGACCATGTGTGCTGATTCACCATAAAAACTGTAGTTCTCTTCAAAGTGTCCTGTTCACAGATGCTCAGCAAGCCAACCATATGAAGGAAATGACATTCATTGACAAAAATTTTATCCAAAACACTTTGCAGTACAACACTTGAGCACCTATTGTATCATCTGATCCTCTAATAAACTGGATGGTAGAGGTCTTCGTGTACTGGAGCTGGCTTGTCCCATCTTGCTCAAGCCCACTGTAAAACATTCTTGGCTATTTTGCAAGCCAGTTGTTAAACCATTGGTAACTTCATTGAACATGGTGGGGATATTTATATCCTTGAGATCAACAAAGACTATAAATAAGAGGTTTTCTTTTATAAAGAGCAGGTTTATCATCAAACCACAGGCAGTTCGTGTGTTAAAAAATGTTCTGTAAATGAAGAGATGGACAGAACCTTAAATATGGTGCCTCTGAGTTTCAGGAAGATGAAGTGAGACTTTCAAGGTCTCTGACCCTTGTTACAGTGAGATACTGGCTTCAAACGCATTTACTCATTTCAGCAGGCATTTTTCAAGTACCAGTGATGTGCCAGGTACTTCCTGCCATGGCAAAACGTGATGGGACATTAGTGGTTAAGACCAAGGAGCTCCTTGTGAGAGATCCTCTCAATCAGCAGTGGTAGTGCCTATCCCAGGAGGTGGGCCCTGCTCAGACCCCAGAAGCATGACTGGATCAGGACCTGATACTTTACCACCCTATGGAGCCTGAGAGGGGTCCTGCTGTCACAGACCCAGCCACTGGGTGTATGTGGATGGCTCACTGTGTTTACTCTCTGTCCAGGGCTCCTCCCACAGAACCTGCAGCTTCTCTGCCCAAAACAGCCCCAGTGAGCTTCCCAAGGGAACAGCAGTCAAATCTAGAGCTCAGCTCACCACCAGGACCCCCTGACAGGGCTAGTTCCTGGTCCTTGCACATTCTTAAAAGCCATTGGGATTGTACCATGAATATAGAATAGTCAGAGGCTCCAAGGGAAACCACATGGACACTACCCCTAACTGTATGGGTTCTGCTATGAGTTGAACTCTGTGTCCATACTCCAACTCATATACTGAAATCCTAACCTCCAGAGTCTCAGAATGCAACACCTACAAACACTATATTCAGAACATCTCAGAATATAGGGCTTGTAGATATAATTAGTTAGTTAACTTATGATGAGGTTAAACTAGAGTAGGGTAGGCTCCTAACCTAACAGTATCAGTCCCTATAAAAAAGGGAAAACTTGGATACAAGATGTCCACAGGGGGAATGCTATGAAAGACGAAAAAATCAAGGAACATCAAAGATTGCCAGCAGCTAGGGAAGAGGCATGGATCAGATCCTTCCCTTATAGTTCTCAAAGGAACCAACCCTACTGATAACCTAGCCTCCACAACTGTGAGACAAGAAATTTTGTTGTTCAGGGGCGCCTGGGTGGCTTAGTAGGTTAAAGCCTCTGCCTTCAGCTTAGGTCATGATCCCAGGATCCTGGGATCGAGCCCCGCATCGGGCTCTCCACTCAGCGGGGAGCCAGCTTCCTCCTCTCTCTCTCTCTCTCATTCTCTGTGCCTCTCCACCTACTTGAGATCTCTGCCTGTCAAATAAATAAATAAAATCTTAAAAAAAAAAAGAAATTTTGTTGTTCAGTCACTCAGCTGGTAGTACTTTTGGTACAGCAGCCACAGAACACTAATCCAGGTGCCTTGCTTTGCAACCATCCAAATTGGGCAGCACTACATTAGAGTTTGGGTGACTATCAGGGACACTAAAGACAGACAAGGGTTAGAGCCCCATGCTGGATCCAGGTATGGAATCTAGTAGAAGAGGTGCTGCACTTGGGGTCAGGACAGAATGACCCTGCCTGAATGTTGGGGACTGTTACATTCTGCCTGTGAACCCTCTAGTTCACACAGATGACTATAGACACCATCTGGAATCACCAGGGTCACAGACAACACATCAGCCAGTTGCTTCATCACCAGAGCGGTGGCCTCAAGCTTGCACATGCGATCACACTCCAGAGGCTGGATGCCCCCCCTGGCAGTTCCACAAGGAAGATGCCATGATGACAGGAAGGTGGTGGAAACACTTGGACGGAGCTGGATGGCCAGTGGAATATGCCACAGCCACATCGTCCACTGCCGATGCCTGTGGGATTCCCAGTATCTTATTTTCCCCTGTTAAAGGGGAAAGTGTTTTCGGCAAACTCACAAGGTGGGAAATTTGATTCAGGAAAGAGAAGGGTTGAATATGGCTTCCTGGCCTTAGATCCTTGAACAGAGTGCTCCTGAGCAGTGCACGGATTTAGAGAGGGTTTGACTTTAATCGAGCCTGGATGCTCCCAGACTAACTCAAGGCACAGAGAAGACACCAACCAAATAGAAGTCTCCTTTTCTTTGCTTTTTCTTGGCTTTTTTTTTTTTTTCAACAAGTATTCTCTTATCTAGGTCGTACTGAGAGGGCTAACGCCTGGAGTCTGTAAGACTGGCACGCTGCCAGCTCTCTGTCCCACTTCAGGTGCTCCTAGAGCTCTGTCTCTTGGGGCTGATGTGACTGCCCCTGAGGGCCTGGAAAGTGAAGGTGTCGGTCCTTGGAATCTACCTCTGACTATCCTGGCCAGCTAGCTGGGCATTTGCCCTGATTCACTTGTTCCCATCTTTCCACACACCCACATGAGTACACACTCATATGGGTGTGAGTACACACTCCCACTATATGAGTACACACTCCACTAAGTACACACTCCACTAAGGAAGACTGTGTCCTAAAGGTCAGACAGGAGGAGAAATTCTTATGCTACAAAGAGGCACAAGCTTTCTGCTCTAGTTCTTTAAAGACCCCTGCAATTCTCCGGCAAAGGAGTAAGGCAGCTCCGCAGAAGTATGGCATGGTGGGCCTCAATCCTGAAATCACCAGTAGAGTTTTAGTTATTCTTTTAAAAAGTCCCCGTAAGTACCTACTGCCCATCCAACCATGTGTTCCTGATTTAGAAAATCCGATCTAACCAACTACACTTTAGGGGGGAGTTTTGTCCAGAGGGTATGCCTCGAATCCCACAGGCCCATGGAAGGCAGAACAATTGCATCAAGCCCTCCCTTGTCTAGAGGTCAAAAGCTGGAGGGGAGCCACAGAGCACCATCACCGTGGGTGAGGGAGGTCTCCCGTGAGTTTCCTAACCTTGCTGGGCTGCCCCTTTAAGCAGGACACCGCAGACACTCAGCTGTCCTGCTTGCAGTCTAGAGCTCTAGTGCTATCCTATTGATAATGTTCTTCCTTCTGAATTATCTGCTTTCTTCCGTGGGAAAGTCTGCGAAGGCCTGTGATTTGTGCCACTTCTGTTTGCAGGCCATCAATTCTCCTTGCCTCACAAAGAGTATTTTATCTCTTTCTGTCCAGTAGCCTGAGTTCTTGAGAGTGAACAAGTGAGGGACACACCGGCCTCTCATGACTTACGTGAAATCAGAGTGAGTTCTTACCACGGTGAGTCCTTAGTGCTTCCGTCTTCTCCCTTCTGTATCTCCTTCCCTCTTCTGCCTACAGATGGAGCTGGTTTTTTCCAAAGTTATGAAAGTCACAAGTGATAGGCCTTTGTGCATATTTTGTCAAATAACCCCAATTATTCTCTTCCTTCTCTCTCTCTCTTTCCCCATGCCCTCATCTCTTCCTCTTCCTCCGCACGTGTGCATTTTCCTCTGAATGAGTGTGCATGTGTGTATGTCTTCATGTACGTATAGACACACTTGGGTCATCATCTTTGTTTATGGTTTCTACCTATGATCATATGTCTACTGATGTTTATAACTGTCATCTCTGAGGAAGCATCCTATGTAACCGTATGGGTTGTCGATAAATGCAGGGAACAACGGGATTGTTCAATTTTGGTGTGTTTATATGGAGAGAATGGTTGTTAAAAATATCCATTCTATAACAAAAAGATAAACCTGATTTCTAGCCATTCAACCTTCTAATAGGTTAAATGATAACAAACCATTCATTGATTTTTTTTTTTTAAGAGTAATAAACAGAAACATGTACCAATTGAAAGGGCCAGGCAATTCAATTATAATTAGAAAAACAGAAAGTGATGAGCCTGAACAATGCTGCCTTAGTTTTTGGAATAAGTATTGGGATAAATATACATAACAATGCAGTGTTTGTTTTCTCATTACTAAAGGCACCAACACTATCACCTCATTTCTGAAAGCCAAACCCAGTGGAAAGAAGTACAAAAGTCAGAAGATAGGTTTGACAGACATGCTTAAAAAATATACACACAAACAGACCCAAATAGAACCAAAATATATAGCAGAAGAACATTTGAGTCAATTTATATTCACCACTCTACTGATTAATGTACCAGTCCACGCATCCATCCATCTGTCCATCTGTCCGTCCATCCGTCCGTCCGTCCACCCATCCATCCATCCACCCACTGATTCAACAAATATGTTTTGAGTTCTTACTAGGCTTTAGGCACGGTGTTATTAATATATACTATAGGTATATATTAATACCTAGATTCAAATGACTCCAATGAAAATAACAATTCTTTTTTATTTTTAGTAATTGTTGGCTCAACTTTTCCTCCATGGCTAGAAGGAGAAATACTTAAACAGCTGAAGACGGACAAGGACATGCCAACATACCTTTTGTAGCCAGGCGAACGCAGTTGATTTTGGTCTCCTGCGAACAACAAAAGTGAGGTTCCGGTTAATTAGTTGCAGGTTTGATTTGTTATATAAAGAAAAAATATACATATGTGTTTTTAAGTATAATTTTAAATCTGTCTTTGCCATTTTTTCTCCCATTGGAATCACCTTTTAATTCTATTTCTTCATTTCTTTTTGGGCTAGGTACATACTTTGTTCCTTTCACTTCCTGGCTCTGATCACCTCATAAGCTTCTTCCCCAGACAGAACCACTTATAAACATATCAGATGCTGCTATTGCCTAGCACAGGACAACTTTAACAATGACACTAAGTAGGTATACTGGGACATGAGTTAATAGATGGCACCGGGACCATCCTTGGGAACCTATAAAAGAATAATGCATCTATCAGCACAGACTGATCAGACACTTGGCAATAGCTCAGTCAATAAGAATGTGTAAGAATCAAACTGCAAAGCTCATATTCAAAGAGTCACATTGGTCCCCAGATCATTGGTGAACCTCACGGTTTCCATGGATAATGTTGTGCGTGTATGCTTACGTGGCAATTGAATCTGCTCTGTAAACTATCTAATTATTGCTGGCTCTTCCCCAAGTGGAAAAAATCCATAAACTTGTGATGTTACTGGGCATGCAGTTGAGTTACAGAAGAGTGTGCTTAGAAGGAGAATCATTTTAGCCAGTTTTTTTGGGATGGTCTCCCAGAAGGCCCTGGAACCAGTTGAAAATTCCAGTAGACTAAGCTCTACCTCCAGCAACAGTCTCAATGTAGTGTATCAATGAAAATAAAAGGCAAAAAATGCAAGTGTGTGAGTCTCAAGAATCAAATGTGTGTCTTCCTACTGCTTACTCATAAGAAATCACTGCATCTTGAAGGCACTTGGGTTAGTCAGGTCTATGAGGGTTCCTGGACCCAATTCTGTTGTGTGTGTGTGTGTGGTGGTGGAGGGGGTTCTTCCCCTTCCACACCACCAAGCAATCCTCAGATACCAGCAGGGTATCTGAGAATTCAGCTCAGGTCTGACACTGTCTACCTGGAGATGGCATCAGATTCCATAGGTTAAGGGTTCAGTTCTATAGGACTGTCCTGTACCCCACCACTTTAGATGCTAGGTATGAGCCTCTGACTGTTATCTGTGCTTTTGACCTCCCAGCTACAGTTTGGAGGTTCCAATTTCTAGAGCAGCTCACAGAACTCAAAGAAACATGTTAGTAGATCACTAGTTTATTGTAAAAGGTTGTAACTCAGGAACAGCCAGCCAGATAGAAGAGATGCATAGGGTGAGGCATGTGGGGAGGGGTGCAGAACCTCCATGTCTTTTCCAGAGGTGCTGCTCTCCCCAATCTCCATGTGGTCACCTCCCCAGAAGCTCTCTAAGCCCAGTCCTTCTGGATTTTTATGGAGGCTCCACTGCATGGCCATTATGGACTAAGTCATCGGCTATTGGCTGATTCAACCTCTAGCCCTCCACCTCTCCCCAGAGGTCCAGTAGGCTGGGAGTGGGGTGAGACTGTGGGACTGTGGGACTAAATGTTCCAAACCTCCAATTAGGAGCTGATCCTCCCAGCAACCAGCTTCTTCCTTAGGTGGGGTCCAAAAGTCACTCTCATTAACATAGCAAAAGACACCTTTAGGGCCACTGACACTTAGGAAATTCCAAGGGTTTAGGAAGCTGTGAGCTAGAAACCATGGACAAAGACCAAATACACATGAGATATATACTTTTGGTCATCTCAATGACTAAAAATTCATTTCTAAGAAATCACAATATTGCACCAGGGTTATGCAGAAGTATAAAACCCATGAGCTTCAGCAGCTAAAAACAGTAAAGGTGTATTTCCCATTCAAACTAACAGGTCCAGGATAGGTGCACGACTGGGTCTGAAGTGGGATTGTGGTGGTGTTTGGGAGATAACTGTAATCACTGTAGTCACTCAGAGACCAAGGCTGGTACCTCTATTTAAATTCAATTTAGTTAATATACAGTATATTATTAGTTTTAGGGACAGAATTTAATGATTCATCAGTTGCAGAAACACCCAGTGCTCATTACATCAAGTGTTCCTTAATGCCCATCATCCAATTACCCCTTCCCCACCCCATTTCCGCTCCAGCAACCCTCAATTTGTTTCCTATAGTTAAAAGTCTCTTACGGTTTTTATCTTATTTTATTTATCCTTTCCTTCCCCTCTGTTCATCTGTTGTGTTTCTTAAATTCCACATGAGTGAAATCATATGGTATTTGTCTTTCTCTGACTGAATTATTTCACTTAGCAGAATACCCCTTAGTTCCATCCACATCGTTGCAAATGGCAAGATTTCATTCTTTTTGGTGTCCGAGTAAAATTCCATTATATGGATGTATATATGTGTGTGTGTCACATCTTCTTTATCCATTCTTCTGTCAATGGATATCTGGACCCTTTCCATAGTTTGGCTACTATAGACATTGCTGCTATAAACATTGGGGTGCATGTACCTCTTTGAATCTGTATTTTTGTATCCTTTGGATAAATACCTAGTAGTGCAATTGCTGGGTTATAGGATAGTTCTATTTTTAACTTTTTGAGAAACCTCCATACTATTTTCCAGAGTAGTTGCTCCAGTTTTTATTCCCATCAAGAGTGTAAGAGGGCTCCCCTTTCTCTGCATGATCATCAACATCTGTTGTTTCCTGAATTGTTAATTTTAGCCATTCTGACTGGTGTGATATCTCATTGTGGTTTTGATTTGTATTTCCCTGATGCTGGTGATATTGAGTATTTTTTCATGTGTCTGTTAGCCATTTGTATGTCTTCTTTGGAGAAATGTTTGTTCATGTTTACCTCCATTTTAACACAAGGTTTCATGGTTCACTGAGGCAGAAGCAAAGAATGCTGGAGTTGGGCACTCACAAGCAAATGTTTTGTATCAGAAGCTACACTTACTTGATTCTGTATCAAGAAGCTAAACTTACTTGACTCAAGTCATATGGCCATGCCTAACTTAAGTGAGGTGGCAAAATGGAGTCCTCCATGCACCCAGAAGTAGAAAAGAAATGGTAATGTCTACAGCAGAGTCTATTTTCTCTAGGCACACCTCTGAATGCTAAAAAATGTCACTTTAAGTATGACTCCCCAGTGGTCTTGATTCTATTCTTCACACCACAGAAAGTCTTCCCTTGCTTGTGTACAAAAGATGTCTGGATATCAAAAAATGGTTCTCATGTCCATTAATGCTCTTCAACAATTCCTCAGGTGATAAGAGTTCAAGTCCTTTGAACCAATATTGTTACTCATCCACGGACATCCTGCAGTTTTATCCCTCTTACTGAGATGGAACTAGAATAGGAAGCAGCAGTTTACATGTGGTCTTGTCAATATATGATTACTTAGATTATCACTATTTTCTATTTCCTTAGTTATACTGGGCTTCTATTAACACAGCCAATATGCCGATATCTCAATATCTCAGTTTTTCACTGATCACGATGAATGTGCCGTCAACCTTTTCCCAACAACAACAACAAAAAAAAAAAAAAAAAAAGAAAGAAAGAAAGAAAAGAAAGAGAGAAGGAAAGAAATTTGCCTTTTTCCACATATATAAATGTGGTTGTATTGCTCAAATGCAAGTGCAGAGTCATATACTGATTTCCCCTATTGACTTCCATCTTCTTTGATCTGGTTGCTACAGCTTGTCATCATATTCTCCACCATATATAAGTTTTTGAACACATTTTTCTATAATTTTATCCAAATCTTATTAATATAAGTGGTAAATCTTATTAATATAAGTGGTAACCTGGAAAATGCCATTGATAAAGATTTGTGACATGTACTAGAATCCACGTTCCAGGTTGGCATTCATTGCTCATCAGAATTTTTGGTTGGTTATCTAACTATTCATTTCCTCAACTGCTTATGAACTTGGATCCTCCTGCTGTGTTTTCCCACCAAAAGAGCTTGAGAATAGGGTCAAACTCACTTCAGGTACTCAGACTCTGTTTACTGCATTTTCCCACTCTATCAGTCTAAGAACTCTCTCAAAGAAAGAAGGTTGAGTTGACATAAGTTGTTTTTTAGGACAAGTGTTTCCCTTTCTTTCTTTCTTTTTTTAATGCTGAAAGTGCTCTTTTTAAAAAATAAATAATTACCTTATTAAACAACTGGAAAATGTAGAAATATTAAAAGAATATCACACAGTATGATTCAAATTTATGAAGTATTCATTTAGGTATTCATATGATATTTCAAGTAAACTATATTTCAAAAAAAAGTGTTTTTTTAAGGAGGATATCCAGAAGACAGAAAGAAGGAAAAATTATATAAGAAATATAAAAATAAGGTGTAAAGAGAGTTTGTGTATTTGGTATTTTTCAATTTTTTTTGAGTGAGGCTTGAATAGCTATGTATTTCCCCCTTAGGACCACCTTTGCTGTATCCCATAGGTTTTGGACCAATGTGTCTTCATTCTCATTGGTTTCCATGAATTGTTTAAGTTCTTCTTTGATTTCCTGGTTGAACCAAACATTTTAAAGCAGGATGGTTTGAATTCCTTCCAAACTTTTGCTTGTGATTGAGTTCCAGTTTCAAAGCATTGTGGTCTGAGAATATGCAGGGAATGATCTCAATCTTTTGGAATCGGTTGAGACCTGATTTGTGACCCAGTATGTGGTCTGTTCTGGAGAAAGTTCCACAAAAAGGAGAATTTCATACTAATATCCCTGATGAATATGGATGCCAAGATTCTCAACAAGTTCTAGCTAATAGGATGCAACAGTACATTAAAAAGATTATCTACCATGACCAGGTGGGATTTATCCCTGGGATGAAAGGGTGGTTCAACATTCACAAATCAATCAGTGTGATAGAACAAATCAATAAGAGAAGAGAGAAGAACCATATGGTCCTCTCAAGTGATGCAGAAAAAGCATTTGACAAAATACAGCATCCTTTCCTGATTAAAACTCTTCCAAGTATAGGGACAGAGGGAACATTCCTCAACTTCATAAAATCCACCTATGAAAACCCCA